TAAGCTAGCACATAAGTAGCATAAGATCAAAACCGAGCCAGTAGCCAAAGCAGATTTCAAAGAGAACGTTTTTTTGAAGGAACTGAAGAGATTTGAATATATGTCTCTGGAGAAAACAAAGTAAAATACTTTTAAAAGTATAAAAGTTCAGCAGCCATCTCCTGAATGAGCCGAACATTTTGATACAGGAATGACTAAAACAGCACAAAGGTGTGGATGCTGTTTTCTGTCTGGAAATATGTTTTTGTGCGTTCATGAGACATGAAAGGTGTTTGTAGCTAAATAAACTCTGCTCACGTGACCCGGTGCTGCTCGCTCTCACAGCCGAACGTCTGTGTCTGCTTCCTGTCCCAGATAACGGCTGTATGCAGAGAGGCTGCCCTCCTGGCCCTGCAAGAGGACATCAAAGCTCGGCACATCCAGGCCCGACACTTTGAAAGTGCCCTGGACGCCGTGAAGCCCCGGATCCCCGACTCGCTCATCCAGTCGTATATCAGCTATCAGCAGCGGCGCAGCGGCTTCTTCTGACCGCGCCGTAAAACTCCATCTGGACCACTGTAGAACGCCAACTGTTGACCTTTGATGCAAATAACCCACGCAGCTGTTGGTGCTCAGGCTGCTGAATAAACTGGACAACCAGCCGTGACTTCTGTACAGCGTGTCGATGTCTGATGTCCGTTTTTTTACCAAATCTGAAGGTTTTTAATTCACTTTTTCCACAGTGAAAAGTGCTGTGCACATAAATCACAACGTTACATGTTGACTTTTTTAAAAGTTTACAGCAGATAGTTTGGTGAAAAGTGAATAAAATCCATATTTTGTTCTTCATCCAGGCATAAAACAGGTTATTTTTAAATAATGAGTTGCCACATCAAAATCCAAGATGGCCACCACCATATATTTAAGTAAACTGGAAAGTTCCTGGCACGTGGTGACCATTTAAAAAAATGTTTTTACAGTACTATGTGTCGGAGTTGACTCTCAGCTACCACCACACCAAATTTAATCTCAACATGGCAAATAAAATCTGAGTTATAGTCATTTTTCTTGTAAGCTATGGTGGCCATCTTGGATTTTTGATAGCATGAGATGGGAAACATTCTCAGCTGCAATTGAACAAAATTTCAGCTCAATATCTCAAAAAATGACAGTTATGGTCAATTTTGAGTTTTCTGAGGTAGCTGTGGCAGCCATCTTGAACCAAAATGGCTCCAAAAATTATTCAGTGTTTTCTTCCTTCTAGGTCATGTGACCTCACTGTGGCTGTTGGAGGCGGTTAAAAGTTTATCCGGCGTTTTGAATGAGAAAAACAGCGTATTTGTTAGCAAATTACGTCGCCGTGGTAACTGGAAACGCCAATAAAAGTAACAGCATACATCAGAGTGCGGAGCTGGTTGTTTTGATATAAAATTAGTGGGGGGGGTGGGGGGGCACACGTTGCGCTTCGGGTCGTATTAAAGTTGAAGGAAGAGTAAGACCCTTATCAGGTGGTTAATAATTGGTACCAACTAGACCCCTCATCATTTGAGGGAATTATAAGAATTTGAGGTGACTAAAGTTTAATTTCTGGTGGCCAAGGCCACCACTGGCCACCCCCTGGCTCCTCCACTGCACCTGGTAGATAAAATTCCCTCCGCTCTCCGTCGCTGCTGCCTGACGAGCAAAATAACTTCCTGTTCTTCTCCACAGTGTAACTTCTGCCCATCTTGAATATCTTGCAGCAAAAAAAAACATTTAGGTTTAGTTTCATTCCAGAAACAGCTACGAACTGTTCAGGTCCCTCAGCGACGGGGACGTTGGCGTGTTGCTCTTTCAGCTTGAACAGGCTTTTTACTCCCCAGTGGCAGAAAAGTGTTTTTGTTCATCCATTGTGTTAGCAAAATGTTACTTTCACAGAACGTAATGTTTGGACGTGCAGCTACAACTCAACTTCTTTGATGAAACCAGGTCTCTCTTGAGAACGAGTCCTCGAGGCTCAGTGGGACTGACCTGTAGAAATAAAGGTTGAATGAAAACTTGATGGCGTCAACCCAAATCAAGATGGCCGCCGCAGCTTTAATGAATGCTGGGACTCCAGAAGTCTTTCAGGTATTGAAGTAAAATCTGCCGCTGGCAGATCGTCGTACAACATGGCGCGATTAAAACGTGTTTAACGGCGTTAGACGGTCGAGTCGGGGCCTCTGCTTCTTTCAAACGGTTTCTTCTCGTGGGAGTTGAGTTTAAAACTGAGCTTGTGGCCGACGTGCACCCTTGTAGAAAATCTTTAGGAGATAAACTGTGCAGCATAAAAAGCTTATTTTGAACCTCTCTCTGGGTTTCTTACAGGTTCCTACAGTAAACTGCTGGAAGAAGTGAAACAGTCCCTACAGTTCATCTCATCCATACATGGTGGTTGGGGGTGGGGGTGGGGGGGTCTAATTGCTGTAATCGTGAGATTTCCGACCACTAAGAGCAGAGATCCAGGCGGCCATCTGTCACATCATTTATTTTATCACCACGAGGCGGGTTCCTGCTCCAGGAAAACCTGGACCTGGACCTGGACCTGGTCTGCCTCTGCTGCTCTGCTTGTGTGTTGGAGGCGCGCGCTGACCCGGGACGGCGCCGCGGCTCGTGCGTCCATTGATTTGTCTCGTGAAAAGGATAAATTGACTTTGTTCCACTTCCTTTTCTCATGGATCCGGATGTGGCGCATCCGCGACACCAATCAAAGCGGGGGGGGGGGTGGGGGGGGTCGGGACCCCCCGCCCCCCCCCCCCCCCCCCCTCTCATGGCTCTATGTTTTACTTAAGGTGGTCTGAAGCTGGAAACTTAACTTCCAGGGCGCGCGCAGCACATCTATTCTGTCCTCTTATGGAGAGCTGGACACGTAATGGGAACATTCCGGAGAGGACAGAAGACTTCCTGTTGATGTCCCCCCCCCCCCATCTGAACATTCACAGCTGCTCCAGAAAGAGCTCCAAGATCATTCTAAATAAATAAATGGATTCCAGCTGGACTTTGGTTCATGTTCAGCCTCCTTAAAAGGAAGGAGATGAGATTTTAGTTTTGAAGTTTGTCAAGAAACTTGTTTGTTTGTTTGTTTACCTCCACAAACAGGCCCCGCCCGGTGCGCGTCAGTCACGTGACTCGAGCTTCATTCAGGACATTCTTGTTTACATCTGGAAACTGTCAATCTGATGTCGTTCAGGATTTTATGTTTGATTTAATCATTTACAAAGAGAACTTGAAGTCAAATAAATATTTCCTCCAATCCTGATAAACCAGAAAATACAGACTTTAAATTAATTAACCAGGGAGTTCTTGCGTCACCATTAGTCCCAGTAACCTCACTCACTCAAACCATCATTCAGAACGCGCAGTGGAAAGCCGTTCCACCTTAAGAGGCGCGCGCACCTCCCGTCGGGCCGGCCTTCCACATCTGCCCAATGAATCAGGAGCGGATGCGGTGTATCCTGTTTCAGTGCGTGAATGGCCAATGGGAGTTGTCTTGTGGAGCAAACACTGCGCGCTGCGTCTCCATTCATTCAGAGCTGAGGAGGCCCGCAGAGCCGCGCGCACCGCCGCGCACCGCAGTCTGACCCGAGGACGCACCGCCGTGCACATTCTCCGCAACAGCGAGGCCAGCGCGGCTCTCCGCAAGCAAGAAGGAGCTCGTGGATCTAATCCTGCTTTGTGCGTTTTGACGCGTTTTGTTTGGTTCGGAGCGCAGCTCGGCCTCCTGCGCGCGCGCGCGACAGCAGCAGCAGCTCCTCTGGAGACTCCGCCGTGGATTTACAAAGCGAGACCTCGGGACAAATGCACGCGTGACCTGCGCAGAACTTCTCCTCCCAGACAGCAGAAAGGAATAACCCCGGGATCCCCTCGAGTCTGGATTAACACCGAATCATGCGTTTCACCTCGTAGTCCGCGCGTGGACGCTCATCGGCCCCTTCCTCTGTGGATGGAGTTTTGAGAAAGTGCTGGATGGATTCGACGCTGTGGATGATTGCATGTAGGTGAGCACGTGCTAACAGCTGTAATTCTGCTTAGTTTTTGCCTTTGCAGCCTAGAAGCGCTTTTTATTAATTGATTGATTGAATTTTATTTTTGTGGCGGAGTTGCACCAACAAGCTCCGGGTTTTTCCGCACGAGCTGAACGCTCGCGCCGGCTGGGAGCCTTTATGATCAGTTGATGGATTCCCGTGCCCGTGTCTCCCCGTGTCTGAGCTGTAATGAGCTCCCCTCCCCCACGGCGGCTGTTTCATTCATAAGTTCCTGTTTGGAGCCTCCAGGTTCTGAGCGCGTCCCGTGGACACGATCTGCTCCGTTCACTAGAAATGAGCCTCAAAGCAGCTAAATGTTTGTTTGTTTGTTTGTTTGTTTGTTTCTGGGTTTGGTTTCTTTCCTGGAGCTTCTGGCTCCAGAACATCCTGGTTGCAAACGCGCACGTTCTATCAGTCCAGTTTGTTTCTACAGCACCACATGAAGTTGTCTCAGAGCGCTGAACAGGAACATTCAGTAAAATGATCCAATGAAGCAGATTTAACCCTTCGACTTTGTTTTTCTCCAGTCCGGTCTGACCTGCCGGTTCTAAAGCCGTCCTTGTTTTTCCAAACCTGCGTCTCGGCGTTGGGACAGAATACTAAGTGAGGCCGCTCGTTTGGTTCCCTTGGATCGTGTCCTCGCTGCATTTAAATGTTAACTAGTCATAGAAATGGAAATGAGGAGGGGAAGTGCTTGCAGGGCCCGCTGAAGTTTGGATGTGTGCGTGCTGAGCAGAAGTTGTTAATGGTCAACTTCTCCCTGGTCGTCTCATAAAACCGAATCCAGAGGGACGCGTTGTTGACGGAGCGACCAAAAATCAACTGTAAACGTTAAAACTCGGCCGTGCACGTTGTTGGAACGATCGTATTAAAATGTTGAGACCTCGGAGTGACTGTTTGCCTGATCATGTCTCTCCTTTGTCTCCCCCTGTTCCCCCCCCCCCCCCCCCCCGCCGGTTTTCCCGTGCATGCCCCCGGTGAATGTCGGAAGTGGTGATCCCCCCCCAGATGGAGCTCCAAAGTCAACATGGCCCCGGCGGTTCATTAGTGGTGATCCAGCAGCCCTCCCTGGAGAGCCGGCAGAGGTTGGAGATCGAGCATGCGGCCATTCTCTCCCTGGAACAAATCAAGGCCATCCGCTCCAGCAACGAGTACACGGAGGGGCCTTCGGTGGCGCGGAGGCCCCCTGCGCCCCGCATGGCCCCCAGGCCCCAGGACAAGCAGGAGAGGACTCACGAGGTCATCCTCGTCAACGTGAACAACAACTACGAGCACCGGACGCTGGGTCACCACCATCCTGGGGGTGGCGTGGTGGTGGTGTCCGGCGGGCCTCGGGCGCCCGGGCTCAGCCGCTCCACCAGCACAGGAAGCGCCGCCAGTTCAGGGAGCAACAGCAGCGCCTCCTCCGAGCAAGGACTGTTGGCCCGCTCGCCCCCTACGAGGCCCGGCGTGAACTCGCAGCACCACCGAGCGGACCGGCCTGTTCGGACTCAACCTAAACCCAAGAACCTTCTGCAGCCCCACCAGGACCCCCACTCCCACCAGCCCCCACTCGAGGCTCCGCTGAAGCCCCAGGGCAAAGGGAAATCGGACTTGTCGGACGGTGGGGCGGTGGCCGCCGCCCGGCACCAGTTCATCTGCGAGCGCTGCGGGAAGTGCAAGTGCAGCGACTGCACGGCCCCCAGGAGCCTGCCCTCGTGCCTGGCGTGCAACGGCCAGTGCCTCTGCTCGGCGGAGAGCGCGCTGGAGCACGGCACGTGCATGTGCCTGGTCAAGGGCATCTTCTACCACTGCTCCAACGACGACGAGGGGGACTCGTGCGCTGACCACCCCTGCTCGCTGTCGCGCTCCCACTGCTGCTCTCGCTTCCTGTGCATGGGATTAATGTCGGTACTCTTCCCCTGCCTGCTGTGCTACCCGCCCGTCAAGGGCTGCCTGAAGGCGTGCCAGGGCTGCTACGACCGGGTCAACAGGCCCGGCTGCCGCTGCAAGAACTCCAACACTGTGTACTGTAAACTGGAGAGCTGGGCCCAACAGACCCGGGAGAAACCCTCCTGATCCCGTCCCGTGGTTTCGAGCGCACAGGAGACTTCATGTGGATCATATGACGATGATGATGCTCACAGATCTATCAAACGGTCTTAAGCACCTCTCGCCCAACCGTCCTCCTGGCTGCAGAACAGTGCGGAGCTAAGCAAAGGAAAACCACTCGACCCCCCTCTGGATCAGGACCGTGTTTTTACAGACCAGTGTTTGCCTTAATCGTTTCTGCGCCTGTCCAGCTCCTCGTTAACACTATTTTTATACAAATGTGGAAACAAACAACTTTTTCTTCCGTTTCGGGCAGTTTCTGCCTCGCACCAAATCTGTGAAGGACGATCTGAGGCGATGATGTAGCTGTTGGCGGGTTCTCCGCGCTCCCCCCCCCCCCCGTGTTCTTCATGTTGCGTTAGCTAAAGCACATTCATCTCGTCGTGTTCTCCGCGCCCACTCTCACACGTTCCGTGGCATTCTCCCATCTTGTTCAGTTTGTGTACATTGTTTGCTCCATAAGAGGAATTTTGGCTATTTTTAAAAGAAAAGAAATGTCTTGTTAAACTTTTTTTTTTTTTTTTTTTTTTGGGTCGTTGTAAAAAGAATATTTATTATGTGAAGCTCTATTATTTTATGATATTTATTGCAAGAGACAGTCTTAAATTTACTCATGTCTGAATATAACAAAATATCAAATACTTACTGAGAAATTAAAGGGTGGCACAAAGAAAACTATGTTAACTTTAATGCAGAAAATATATTAATTAATGAAACGAGCGCTGCTGTCTGGTGTCTTGATTGCTCGTTAACCGTCGCTGAGCTTGAAGGTTTCTGGAGTTTGAGCTCTGGTGAACAGCAAGTCACCATTTGGTGTGTGTGTGTGTGTGTGTGTTCGTGCTGGGTGTGGAATTTGTGGCAGAGGAAACACAAACGGCTTGTAGCTGAAGATCAGCTGAATGTTGACGTTCTTCGGGGTTCCTTTGCTGCGGTTCTCCTCAGTGAGCCTGAAGTTCAAACGGTGCAGGTCGTTGAGGTGTTTGGACCCAGAGCGGCGAGCCGTGCGCTCCCCGAGCTTTCACGCAGCTCCACCGGGACACAAACTCCCAAATGGTCTGGGGCGAGCGTTACGAGGAGCCACCTGTTCAAAGATCATAAACCGAGGCCATGAGTGCTTTGTTTTTATGGCACGGCCCCCAGCACTAAAGGGGGGGGGGGGATCCAGCCCCACCCAAACCCACATCCCTCCCCCTCCATTTGGTCAGCTCTTTTTTTGTTTGTGAATTTATCACTTTGGAAGTTCAGTGACCCCCCACCCCCTCGTAGCCACCGAGTTACACACACTTCTACACCTCCAGGCCCGGGGGTGGGGGTGGGGGTGGGGGGGATGACATCATCATTGGAAGTTGGTTGGTTGGTCACGTAAAGCAGTCTGCAGATTGTCTTGTCGATGGTTAATCTGTTAAATTATGAAACTTTTACCCAAAGAAAGAGCTGAAGGACTAAAGTCAAAGGATGGCGACGTCCGGGGGGTGGGGTCAGTCGTTCTCTCTGTTCTTTCAGAATCTTTGTCACACAAAATTAAAATCATACAGAGCTCCATTCACTGCAAATAAAAATAGATTTTATACATAAAAAATCTGAAAGAGGATTATTGTTAAATAATTCAGTATAAAAGCAGATTCTGTGAAATCGACAGCCTCGACAGGCGTAGAACAGTTTGACAAATCTTAACAAAGTTCAGACAATAATCCATCAGAATAATCTAAAGTTCAGTCAGGTCAATAATCCAGCAGAATAATCTAAAGTTCAGTCAGGTTTGTTGTTGACATCCAGAACTTTAGCACGTGCACATCACAACAAACTGGTTGATCCACTATGAGAAGGTGAAATTTATAAGACTTGAGTTTGTTGCAGCTCCTCAGACTGAAGAAGTCTTCTGGTTTAAAGATGAAACGTTTCAACAAAAAGAATCCATCCAGAGGACCTGACTAAACTTTAGATTATCCTACTGGATTATTGACCTGACTGAATTTTAGAT